GGGGTACCAGCCCACCCAGGCACCTCAAATCACAGCTGGACTAAGCACATCTTCTCCCACTGAGGACAGACAAGGCAGCCAAGATAGGGGAAAGGGATACAAAGGCAGGCCACAGGGTCAGAGACAGCCCCTATTCCCACCAACATGTTGGCCATGCTGAACATCTGCTATATATGTGTAGGGAAAGGGTGCAAGTTCAGACCATGCATGCTCTTGCACAATGCATGAGCCTGGAGAGATGGCTCAGGAATTAGGAGTCACTTGCTGCTATTGCAAAGAGTCAAGTTCAGGTCCCAGGCCCTCCATCACGTAGCTCACCACCACCTGCTTCATGAGATCAGCATGATGTCAGCAACCTCTTCTGGGCTCTAGAAGCACACACAGATATGTAGCATAGTCACACACAGACACAGAAACACGTGCAGAAATACAAAATAAATCCTAAGAAAAATGAACAGTACAAGCAGGGTGGTGATGGGTCAAGCCTTTAATTCCAGCACTCCGAAGGAAGAAGCAGGCAGATCTTTGTAGGCTGAAAGCCAACCTGGTCTACAGAGTGATTTCCAGGACAGCCAAGGATACATTAAGCAATCCTGTTAAAAACAAACAACTAAAAAAGAAAGAAAGCAATACACAGTACAGTAACATATGTATGTTATAAATCTTTTACTTAAGAAGTTTGATGAAAAATATCCATTAATCAAGATATTTTTCAAAGAAGAAAAAGGAAAACAAATCCCACAAACCAATCCCCCAGGTCACTCAGAGGAGGTAGGGATGAAAATGAGAAGGCAAGTGCAGGCAGACTGGATGTGATGAACTTGACATTAATATGATAACATGTATTCTTTTCCTCTCCTTGAATTTTTTACCTTTCATAGAAGCATTTTATTATATTTAATAATGCCAATTTATAGGTAATAAACATCTACATAATTAAAGAAAGTATAGATAGAAATTCTTTTCTTTTCATTTTTATTATTAGTTACATTTTTTAACTCCCAGCTGTATCTCACTCCCTCATTCCCTCCCAATCCCACCTTCCCTCCCTCATCTCCTCCCTGCCCCTTTCCAAGTTCAGTAACCAATTAGATAGAAATTCTTAAAGAATTTTTTAGAAATATACCAAACCTTTAAAAGACACATACAAAGCCCTCTTAGAGTTTATATCTAAGAACTACTAATAAGTTTTATCTAGTAATATTTATTGTATGAACAGCCTGTGACACTCTGCATCTTTCAAGTACATACAGTTTATATATAGTACATAGACTGTAGCTTTTGTTCTTTTATTTTTAAATTCTTCTCTCATATATTACATCCCTGATGCATTTTCCTCTCTCTCCCCTCCACCCAGCCTTGTCTCCTACCTCTTCTCTCTCACCCATCCACCCCAGCCTTGAACTTTGTCTTTCTTCAGGAAAAAGGAGGCCTCCCATGGCATCAAGTGAACATGGCCTAACAAGCTGCAATAGTATCAGGCACCTACTGTCACATCATTCCTTGGAGATTTTGTTCATATGTAACACAGTAGTTATTCTTTTCAGCACAGGTGTGGGTCCTCCTATTATTCTGCATAGTGATACATTGCCCCTCATGGCAGCTCTGGAGAAATACGCCACAAGATTTACATATCAATTATGTGATAGCCAACCAGAATATCTGTTTTTTTTTTTTTTTTTCCAGTCTAGGTTGGCTGTAAATAAAACTACAATGAATATCTCTACACATTTGTTTTCATGATTATATACACTTATTTCTGTTGGATGAATTCCCAGGAGTGAAATTACAGTGTCATAGGAAATATGGATGTGCAGTTTTAATAGCCATGGCATGCTTTCTAAAGTGCTTTTATTATTTTGTATTCTAAGTGATACTGTGCAAAAGTCTTTGCTGATTTACCTTCTTATGTACTGTAACAGATATTGAGTATTTTGCCATGTTGGAGCTTGAATAATCCTAACCCTAACTCAAATTTGATTGTACATTTTCTAGATCACTAGTGCTGTTGATTTAACATGTGTATGTATATGTATATGTATATGTATATTATATTATATGTATATGTATATTATATGTATATGTATGTGTATGTGTATGTGTATGTGTATGTGTATGTGTATGTGTATGTGTAT